GGATAATTCTTAACGGACGTTTGCAAACAAAAGCCGATAAATGCCATAAATACCAGCCCAAAGCACGGCGTTGTCTGCAGCAATCCAGGTCGGCCTTTCTGAGGACGGCTGACGTTTCGTGATAAGCCAACACGGAGTGTTTTGTAGTAATTGCGTAATTCTTGTGTCAATGACCATTCCTTGCGCTACTGAATAAAGAGGAAAATGTCTGTAATTCCCCCAACCCCCCAACTAGACCGTGAAAGCCTTTTTCCTACAAAGGTCGACAGAGGCAAAGGTGTGCGTTAAAAAGGAAGTTACCTACAGCTCCCGAGTAGTGCATCGGGTCAGAGGCTTTGCTTATTTTCATTTTGATAAGGGAATTGTCATTTATTAGCTGAGCAGGGAGAGAAATCTTGGTAAACTCTCATCGTCCAGCAAGTCCCAGTCTTGAAACGAGTAGGTAGGGAGACACCACTTCCCAAAATCCATGGAGACTGTCGTCACCACCGAGAATCACTTTGATGACTAATTTCTGCAAAAGTCAACACAAGGGAGAACAGGAATAACATCATTTAAAAAGGTATTTTGCAAAAAACCAACATCTCTTCCCTATTTATTAGGAAGGGTGTGCCCCTCTTTAAATGTTGTTTTGGTACGTCTGCCTTCCTCTCCCATTTGAAACATTAGGCTAGAAAAATAATTTTAGGCTATTTAAACTACTAGTCAGAGTGGAGGGGTTTCTCTGTAGTCCTGACGAAGATGGGATGCTTGCATGCTAAATTCATATTTTGGTGAATGCTCTATGTATCATCTAATGGGATATTCCTTTTTGATTTTCCTCTTGATTAAAAATGTTGGTGCTCATATCAGGACAGGTTTAATATGCCCTGAATTCTCCATTTTTTTCCCATGCTGTCCGCACAGTCTAATTTCTGGTCACAAGGGCGTCCTGCCGGTCTCAGTTGTTAATCTGCTGAAAAATCATCGTGCTCTTGGCTTTTTTAGGAGGCTTGTCTTGGGGAAAAAAAAAAATAATAATCCAAACCAAAAATCAGCAGATACGTTTTGCTAATTCCCTGTGTGTCACCCAGCAGCAATGGCAAAGCTGGGAGGAAAAAAATGGGGGGAAAAGGGGAAGTGGTGAATGGGTTATGACCTGAAGATCTGACGCAGAGCACAGTATTTCAAGTGCTTCCAAACGACGAACGCTCAGTTATTATCTGCAGGTATCCTGCCACTGGGGGCACGTGGTTACCCAGTAAGGGTTTTAAAAGTCTGTTAATAAAGTTACAAATAACCGGCGCTCGCACAGGCCATGGTTCACTGCGCCTGAGCACTGAGATACGCCTGACTGGCAGCAGAGGATAAAATAATTATGAAATCAGGGATCTACTCGGAGACAAAACTGTATTTGCTAAATTATTTTGCCTTCTAAAAAGCCGTGCGCGCCAGAGGAATCAGAACATTGGCTCTCCCACCTTGTGCATCATCTAACCTGAAAATGTGCGGCTGCCAGACACCTCTGAGCCCCCTCCCTGCAAACCGCGGTGGGTCCCATACCAGCAAGAACAAAACTGGTCATCTACTAAATCTGTTGCTGATCTCAGCTAACCGACGGCCCGTAATATCAGCAAATATTTCTGCTTTTGTAAATCTGTTCTTGCCTCCATTAACGGGGTGCCAGCGGGACCAGGAATGCTTTGGGTCTAGAAATGTGCTGGTTGGCAGGAGGAACAAAGAAATTGCTCACCCAGAAGGGCAAAAACAGGACTAATGCTTTTGTCCGCTCGGGAGGAATCGCACGGAAGTCAAGCCAACAGCTTTTCGCGTGCGATCAGAAAGGTGCCATTGGATGCTGCTTTTAATGGCAGACGTCGATATCGGTCCTCCATGAGAAACATCTTCAGTAACTACAATAAAAGCAGATGCTGAAACGCTCCTGTGGTTGAATTCTCGACAGATACTGCCCACTGCCCCGTCATGTCAGGCTCTCCCTGAGCTTGACAGGGCAGCTGCTGTTTTTCCCAGCCTTCTGGAAATAGGCCAGCGACGGCATGTTCCCGATATTAGTTAGCCGCAGGGCGTATTTCATTCTGCTGCCCCAGGCAATTTGATAAAGGCTCTTTCCTCCCACTCCAGGGTTAACCCGCCCAAACCGTAGCTGAAACACCTAGCTGCCACAATACTGCATTCGCGAGGGATCGTGCCTATTTGCGCAGTTAAAATTTGCTTAAATTGGTTGTTTCGCACAAAGGAACACTGAAATTGATTTTGTCGTGTTTTCTGAGCCGACATTAATAACGCTAAATGTATATCAGGAGCTGACTGCTACACCGCTTTATGAATAAAGTTATTTTTAAGAATCATTATCCTTTTCTTGACACCAAGTATTTATGCAGCACAGAATAAAATTTGGTCTCCACCCTTTAGAGAAAGAAGGGGAAAGTCTTCAGCCGATACAGAATTGTTGAATATAAGAAACCACAATTTCCATTTGCATTGTTGTATTGTCCTTAACTCCACACCTACAGGAAAAATTGACACTGGGTCTTTTTTTTTTTTTCCCATTTGAGACCACTGGAGCTATCCAGTGCTATTTCCTTGCTTTCTTACTATTTTACCAGGATTTATTACCAATATTTATCAAATACCAATACATACCAATATTTATCAAATTTTTCTCTCAGACAATTACAGATATGGACAGCATCAGGAGGAACAGTTCTGCCTTATCTTACACCAAATGGAAAGTGCACCTTCTATCCACCCTGCGCGGGGAGGTGACAGGGGTGCAGGGGATCCCTCTTCATTTGTGCCTGGGAAAGTGTCACCTGTCACTGTCTTTGCCCAGTGAAAAGGCACAGCTATTACCAACTATGGCCTACTTTTAAATCAGTTCCCTGCTCTGCCAGGTCGTCGAGTCTTAGAATAGTTGGAGTTGGAAGGGACTTTGAAGATCACCCAGTGCCCCCCTGCCCTGGGCAGGGCCACCTCCCCCCAGCCCAGGTTGCTCCAAGCCCCGTCCAACCTGGCCTTGAACACCTCCAGGGATGGGGCAGCCACAGCTTCTCGGGGCAACCTGCCCCAGGGGATCACCACCTGCACAGGCAAGAATTTCTTCCTCACATCTCATCTAAATCTCCCCTCTTCCAGTGTAAAACCATTCCCCCTCATCCTGTGGCTCCCCTCCCTGATCCAGAGTCCCTCCCCAGCCCTCCTGGAGCCCCTTTAGGCACTGGAAGGGGCTCTGAGGTCTCCCCTTTTCGCCTTCTCTTCTCCAGGCTGAACCCCCCCACCTCTCCCAGCCTGTCCTCCCAGCAGAGGGGCTCCAGCCCTCCCAGCAGCTCCGGGGCCTCCTCTGGCCCCGCTCCAACAGCTCCATGTCTTCCTGATGCTGGGGGCTCCGGAGCCGCATCTGCGCAGGGTTCCCCGTACCATGGCAGAGTGATGGTCAGTTGCAATGCTGAGACCACACTAAAGCTGCGAGGGAAACCGTAGGAGAGAAATCCCACAATTTATTCAGACAGACGCACGCCTGGGGACCCCGACCCCTGCAAGCAATCAACTGGAGCCCTCAAGCATGAGATTTGGTTATCGTAACGGTCCCGACACAATGCTGCCAGCGTCGTTAGTGTGCCGAGGTGAAGGCAGGCGACCCTGCCCTGCCTGGGCCCCGAGGGCTGGCGGTACACCCCAGTACCCACAGCTGCCGGTCTAATGGGCATTTAGGTGTATTTTCCCTCAGGTTCCCGTGCGGGGGGGGGCTGGATTTCCTATGCTTGGGGAGAAAGAGGCTCCACCAAATGCCATGATTCGCAAGAAGACCCGAAGCCATGCAGACAGTCCCTTTTCTTTCTTCCTTCGAGGTGCACAAAGCTGGGGTGAAGGAGCGGCGAGGGTGCCTTGGCGATGGAGGCGAGGAGCCTGAACAACACCCAGCAGGAGAGGAGGGTTCTCCGTCTGTGGAGCCCCCTAAGGATGTGAACACCCGTGGGAAGAGCATCCCCCCTCCTGGGTTTGGGGACGAGAGCCATTATACACCCTGTTCCCCCCTGGGGATGGGAGAGGGGTCTGTGAGGGGACAGGGGACATCCCCACACCGCCTTGGCCAGGGGGACATCAACTCTTGAAGACCCAGGGATGGGGATGGGGATGGGGGACCCCCGCTGGCATGGGGACGGCCCTA